ACAAGCATACACCAAAGGAGGATCCTTAGACACTAAAGTCATCTATGAATACCTCCACCATTTCTTCAAGCAAGTCAGAAAAGATAGAAGTCATACACCTTTGAAAGGTAGCAGGAGCATTGCATAAACCAAAAGGCATTCTCCTATAAGCAAATGTTCCATATGGGCAAGTAATAGTAGTTTTCTCTTGATCATTAAGATGGATAGGGATCTAAAAGAATCCACTATAACCATCTAAAAGCAGTATTACTTAAGATTTTCTAACCTTTCTAGCAGTTGGTCTATGAATGGCAAAGGAAAGTGATCTTTTCTAGAAGCAGAATTAAGTTTTCTGTAATCTATGCACATCTTATGACCAGTGATTGTTCTAGTTGGTATTAGCTCATCATTTTCGTTTTTTACAACAGTGATCCCTCCCTTCTTAGGCACTACATGGACTGGTGAGATCCATGTGCTGTCTGAGATGGGATAGATCACTCCTGCTTCAAGCAACTTCAGGATTTCCTTTTTTACTACCTCTTTCAAGGTAGGATTCAATCTCCTTTAAGGTTCAACAGAAGTTCTTGTCTCATCCTCTAAATGGATCCTATGAGTGCAGAGGTTTGGAGAAATGCCTTGGATGTCATCTAGTGAATATCCAATGGCTCTCCTAAACCTCTTTAACACTTTTACAAGGGCAAAGATCTCATCATCATTGTGGTTATCATTGACAATTACAGGATAAGTGGAGTTAGAGCCTAGGAAAACATACCTTAGCCCTTTGGGAAGAGGTTTGAGCTCCACCTTGGGTGCTTTAAGCTCACTCCAGTCCTCTTCCAAGCTGCTCTGTTCCTTGGCGCCAGCTTCATTACTTGGGAAATCAGCTTCTTGAACTGAGAATACCTCCTCTCTTGTGTATTATAATCTCTCAAATGGCTCCTCTTCTTCCAAGACTTTGTGAGAGTCTAATCTCAGCTTATAACCCAAGCTTTCCTTATCCAAGTAACCTTCTTCTCCATGCTCCTTTGTCAAAGCCAATTGAAGTTTATCCTCACAGCACAGCTCCTCTTGAACTTCATCATGCAGCTTCTCTAAGATCTCAATTTGGAACACATGACCTTCAATAGCAGGTTGCTGCATAATCTGCTTGATGTCAAACTTCAAAGACATATCTTTGCCCAACTGTAGCTCAATTTTTCCTTTCTTAACATCAATGACAGCTCCTGTTGTGGCTAGGAAGGGTCTCCTAAGAATGAGAGGATCTCTAGGTTCCTCATCCATATCCAAAACCACAAAATCAGTAGGTATCTATACACTCCCAATCCTGAGTGGGACATCTTCAATCAAAACCTTCTATCAGCCAATGTCAAAGAGATTCTGCAGTCCTTTAACTTAGCACTGTGCTACAGAGTAGGGCATCAAGCTGACACTAGTTCCTAGATCACAAAAACATTCATCAAACAGAAGTGGACCTATAGAGCAGGGTAAGGTAAAGCTCCCTGGATCTCCTAGCTTGTTGGGAGTCACTCTCTTCTGTTGAATAATGGTGCTACACTCATGTGTGAGGACTACCATCCCTTGTAGGTCCTTGGTTATTTCAGCAACATCATCCTTCAGGAATTTCTGATAAGGAGGAACCAGAACAAAGGCATCTAGTAGTGGCATTGTGAGCTGGATCTTCTTCATCTGTTCATCAAAGAGCCATTTGTATTTAGCAACCAGCTGCTTCTAAACCTTCCAGGAAAAGGTATGGTTGGCTCATTAGGAGGGGGGATGAATTTTGGATCCTTGATCAACTCCTTAGATGCTTCCTTTGGCTTTGGTATTTTTTAAACCTCTTGCAGCTTCAACTACTTTATCCTCTTGAGCTTCTTCATTATCTTTAGCTTCCACCCCCTCTTCTTGTTCCTCAATGTGCACATTGGGTTTAGAAGGTGCCACTCTTGGTGGAAGTTGCTTCCCACTTCTTAAAGTAACAGCTTTGACACACTATTGTGCTAGTGAAGAGGTAGATGGTTGAGTTATGCTTTCTATTTTGTTGATCTTCATATTCAAAGGACCTAGTTGGGACTGCAAGCTGGAGTCAATGCCTTTGTGTATCTCAACAGTCATGTTCCTTTGAATGTCAATCATATTCTTTTGAATCTCAACAGCCATGATTTTCTGAAATTCTGTATTTTGAAGTTGTTGGAGTTGCAGGAACATCTCCTTAAGGTCCAATGCATGTGAAAGTTGGGAAGTGTAGGCGCCAACTGCTTGAGAAGAAGGACTCTGATGTTGTTGAGTATGAGTGTCTCCATAGGACTGGTGTACACAAACATCATGGTCTTGGTTTATTATTGGCGTCTCTTGTAGTTGAACAGCTTTAATTTGATGCTCTTTGTAGTGGTTTGGTGAAGCAACACTAGGAAGAGGTTTAGTGGTCTCATTGATCAGCAAGTCAACTTACTTCTGCAAGACTTTCATCTCATTCAATGCTGTCTCTAGCTTCTCTTCAGTTGCCTTTGAGTGTTGCTCTTTATTAGCAACATAATCCTAATTAATGAGTGCCATGTTCTCCACTAAAAGCTATCCTTCATCAACATCTTTACCAAGAAAGTAACCATTGCTTGCAGTATCTAGAAGGATTCTTATGGTTGGGAGAACACCTCTGTATAGTGTGGATAGTAGCATCTCTTTGGGAAAGCCATGGTGAGGGCATTGGTGAGTAAAGCCTCTAAACCTTTCCCAAGTGTCTCCAAAGCTTTTATTAGACCACTGTTTAAAATTTATGATCTCATTCGGGAAATGTGCAGTTCTTGAGGGAGAGAAGAACTTGGCTAAGAAAGCACCTTTGCATTGTTCCCAAAAAGTGATGCTTCCTTGTGCTAAAGATTTCTCCCATAATGTAGCTCTATACCCAAGAGAGAATATAAATAATCTGAGCTTTAAACCATCTTCTGAAACTCCACTAAGCTTTGTCAAACTACATATCCTCTCAAAGTGATCCAAGTGCTCTAAGGAGTCTTGGTTGGGCAATCCAAAGAACTTCCTCTCTTGAACCATATTAATCATGCTTCTTTTGATCTCATAGTGATGAGTCTCCATGGGTGGAAGAATACCTTGTCTTGAAGCATAACTTGAAGGTATATCAGCAGCACCAATAGGTCTCAATGGTCTCTGAAACAAAGCTCCTTGTAAACCATGTGGACCTTGCTGTCCTTGTAAGCCTTGAATTCCTTGAGGACCTTGTGGACCTTGCAAATCAAAACCAGCAGCATACTGATGTTCTTCCATGATTCAACAGCTGAATTCTGATTCTGCAAATCCAAATCTTTGACTTTGAACCTCAGTTGTAGTTGTAGCCACTTAAGAACAAGTATTGTGGTACCTACAAAAGAAATTCTAGACCAAATGAGAAATCAGTAACCTAAAACGAAAATAACTAAGCTTGATCTCAAGATCTCTACAAATCCTACTAAACAAAGCATTCCCCTAATGGCAAAGGTGCCAAATTGATACTAGAGGTTTTGCACTCTTTCTCAATCACCCCAGTATATGAATCAGTTGTAGTATAGCATAGGGTTTTATGTCAATCCAAAAGGGTTTTGTTGAAAGCAAAAGAGTTGTGAGCAGAAATTCTTAAGTCAAGCAAGCAAAGAAGGTTTTTGTTGCCTAAGCGACTAAACTAGCAACCTAAAGTGATCTATCACCAATGAGAACTCAAAAGAGGCAGTTCAGTAATGATCAAAGAAGTAAAACAGAGCAAATAAACAGAGTACTAAAGCAAATTCGAAATTCAATAAAAGAGAAAGCAAGTTCCTAGATGTGGTTATTGACTTTGGGGAATTCAGAGACTAACTAAGGTTGTTTCAAACAGCATTGATCAAGCAAACAAGCTAGCAATGGTGGTTCCTAGACATAGAGTTCACAAACAAGCAAGCTGAGTCCAATCTCTTGGTAAATAACCCTTTACTAAACACTTTAGCAAGAACTAACTCTCATTAGTGCTAAAACATTCAGCAAGCAATAACAATCAACTCTATTCATGTCAAAATGCTCCTCAAACAGTCAATCTCTTGAGCCAAGGCCAGCAAATCCTCTATCAAACAAGATCAGCATTTCATCAAACACTTGGTGGGCATAAGAGAAAGCTCAAATCCTAGATAAGTGTGATCAAGACAAATCTAGCTTAAAACAGATTAATAGAGAGGAACCCATGTAATTAAACACTAAACAAACCTTAATCAATCATACTCACTAATACTCTAGTTTAACACCAAATCACAAGAGGAAAAGATGTTAATCATGATTAAAAGAGAGATTAGAGAAAGATTAATGGCAAATACAAATTTATATTAAATAAAGCAAGAAATTTGTCTTACAAACCCAGAAAATTAACTCAAGAACAGTGTTATGACATGACTTGTCAAAAATCAAAAAAAAGAGGTATTTATACATAAAAGAAGGAAGCCCTAAAGTAATGGTAAAAGTGTAATAAAATATAGGCTCAGACTGGTTCCTATCGGTCAGTTGTGACCGATAGGGTGATCGATAGAGATCCTATCGGTCTGGAAGATGACTGATAAGGTGGCCGAAATATACACGGTGCACTTCTATCGGTCACTTCTCTGACCGATAGGTCTGGTCGATAGCCCTTCTATCGGTCACTCCTTGTCCGATAGGCCTTGTGTCTTGATCGATAGGCTCTGTAGAGATTGCCTGCCTTGGTGTCTTTTGCTCCTCTTGGCCCAACTAGCTTCCTGGATCATCCTCAAAGCTTCTCCATGCTCCTTATAGCTCCATAGGTACCTAAAAACATCTATTATGCATAGAAAATGCAAACTATATCCTAAATGCAACCTAAGTCTAAAAGGAGAAGAAAATGTGATAAAAGATAAGGAAAACATGCAAAAGAGAACCAAAACATGCACTAAATGCAAGCCTAAATGGTGTAAATACAAGAGATATCAGGAGGTGAGGCAATATGGGAAGATCTAGACGCTTCTGTAGAAAAAGACCACACTTGCACTTTCTCCAAGAGAAAATCATCACAAAACAACAATGTCAAACCAGAGTCCTCCGTAGAACACACAAGGTTCGGAAGAATTATAGCTTTTGGAAAACATGCGTCTGAACAACCGTCCTCACAAGTCTCTTCTCTTAACATCAAGGTAGTTATATAAATCTTCTTGCCATGGTCCAGCCTTTCTCGGATCCTTGGAGTCTAACTTTGTTTATCGTGTATCCTTAACAGGAACTTTCAAGAATAGACAAGACTTTAAATGTTAGCACATCATGTGAAATTTTGTCGGAGTACGGTAAAATGAGCCGAGAAAGCATTGTAAAGTTAGCGGAAAACACAGCTTACACAGCCACCACCGTTCTTGATCTTCTCCGATTTATAGCCTTTAAGATGATGAGACGAGCCGAAGATCATTTCTCTCACGGCGTTGCCGAAAATCTCGATGACCCTAAGTATGGGCATTATAAGTATTGGTCTAATCCACTTGAGACCAAGTAAGTCCATAACATTGTTTTACCATCATCTTTTCTGTTTATATCTATTGGATTAGTATGGATGTTATCACGGCCAAACGGGCTTCACTTGACCGACCACCCGGCCTTGTTCTCCAAGTTATTTCCAAAAGACGGCAGATAGGTTTAGTCGATAATAACATCCCTAATAGCTAGTAAGTTTACGTAATCAATAAGAAATCCACAATGGTCAGAAATTATATGAATGGTGTGTTAATTTTTGTTTCCGAACAGATTACCGGACGCACCGGATATGGAGATGCATTGTCTTTACGGAGTTGGGATTCCGACCGAGAGATCTTACATATACAAGCTCTCAACCTCTTTTGGTAAGTGCAATAAAAACATTCCATTCCGAATAGATAGATCGGTGGATGGAGACGATGTGTGTCTTAAAGGAGGAGCTCGTTTTGTGGATGGAGACGAGAGTGTACCGGTAATAAGTGCGGGGTTTATGTGCGCAAAGGGATGGAGAGGAAAAACGCGGTTTAACCCATCGGGGATGGAGACGTTTGTGCGGGAATATAAACACAAGCCACCGGGAAATCTGTTGGAAAGTCGAGGAACGGAAAGTGGAGCTCATGTGAACATAATGGGTAATGTTGGACTCGTTGAAGATGTTCTAAGGATTGCTTCGGGAGCTTCAGGGCAGGAGATAGGTGGCGATAAGATTTACTCTGATGTGATGAGGATGTCGGAGAGGATTAGGATCAGGTTGTGACATAATTAGGTATTCAACCGTTTTCTTTTTCTTGTGAAAAAAGTACTAAAATATTTAAAAATCGTTAAGTTAAGAGAATATATATATATATGTTCTATACAAGATCGATGTTATTCCTCAAAATAACACATCACATTTTTTCATGATCGTGAGCTAAGTATAAGTATTATTATACCAAATTTACAAAGAGGATCACTCAAACTTTGCAAAAAGAATAATAAAACTCGGAGTGAGTTTTGGTCCCCAAAAAAAAACTATAGAGAGCTTTCTAGCCTTTTCCACAAAAAAAAAATTTTATGGATGGGCAGCAACGACATCATTAACCGTGATTTTGGCAAATAAGATAGCAGTAAATCTGTAACACTTTGGATCTAGGCCCAACAGGAAAAGGAAATACTCATGTGTCAAAAGTCTAAGAGGAAAAGGTATTACGATTTTCCTCAAATCTTCCCTATATAAACAGAGCTAAAGAGCTAGGATTTCCATCACAACTACCAAAGCATTCAGAGATAGAACCTAGGAACCCTAACCGAGCAAGCCGCTGCAGCCGATCATTGTCGCCGCCGACCGCCGCTGCCAAGGAGAGCCGCCGTCGTTCCGCCGTTTCTAGCCGCCGTTTTCTTGAGTCATTTGCTTTATGTCGTTAGAACCCTTAAACCCTAGATCCTTTTTAGCTTTCAATAGGCAAAGGTGAGGATGTGTTCATGCCTTCCCTTTGATATTGTTAGCTAGCTTGTTTCTGTTAGATCTAGATCTTAAGTCCTCTAAAACCCTACAAGTTCCATTCTAGATCGTACCTTGTATATTTGTGCTGTTTGCTAAGTTGTTATTTACTTTCAGAACCTAGATCTAGCTATGGATTAATACTGTTGATTGTTGCTTGATGTTGAATATTGCTTGTGAAAATTGTGAATCTGTATTGCATTGCATATAGTTTGTGAAATCACAAACTGCATTAGGACCCAGCAGTGAGAATGCACTGCTAGCGTGATTGACGCCTGCGACAGAGGATGTGCATGTCGTAGTGCCATGTGGTGCTCAGGTTGACGAACCAGTCGTGCAGCGACTTAGACTTTTGCGGAGATGCGTCCCCTAGCAAGGGTGTAAGACATACGAAATTTGCGGAGGTTAATCCGTGGGATACTGTCATGAGAGGTGTTCAGTATGCTCGCTTTGTTTATTGCATATTTGTTTGTTGATTGTTAGAGGAATTGTTAAACTGCGCTTGTTCGTTTGGCTCTAACTAGCGACAGGTTTGGGTAATGATATATGTGGTGGACTATATGTATGCATTCTCCTGGGTAATCTAAATTACTCATCCCCTCCTTTTCCCTTTCCCCCTTGCGCAGGTGAGCAGGAGCAGCAAGAGTGATTGTCGTGTGATGGTAGCAAGCTGGTTCTCTAGTTCGGTCCTTGGGGTCCTTAAGACACTTAACTTTCTATTTCAAATGGTTTTCAGTTGGTTTTGAGACTTGGTTATGGTTTATTTGAGTTTCAGTTGGTTATTTGCAAGACTATTTGAATTTACATCTATGGAATCAGTATTGATTTGGAGTTAATATTGTGGTAACTTGGTTGGAAAGTTGAGTGTTTAACACGTCATCTCATATAAGGAGAGGCAGTGTTACAAGTTTGGTATCAGAGCCAAGGTTACCAGTCAAACCGGTTCTGACCCAGGAGACATGTTTTTCAAAGTAAAACCGTTTTTAAAAGTTTTTTAAAAGTGGGTTGGGGTTTTCAAAAGTAAAACAGCATCATCACACCACGTCACTCTGCTCTCCAGGCTCAGTAAGTTAGTTTTTTCATTTATCTTCAGTTCATCTTCATCTGTTATCTACATCGTCTAGTGTCTACTGTATCTCCATTAGTTGTGGCTAATCGAATCGGAGGACACGATTCTGATTACTTATTCTTGTGAATAAATGCTACCAAAGGGACAGCGTTTGACTATGGCTGCAGTACGACGCGAGAGTGAGGAAGGAACCCAAACCACTTCAACAGGAAATGTGAATGGAGGTAATACCAGGCGGACTCGCGCCAAGGAGCAGGCAGAAGAAGCACGTGCTCAAGCTTTAGCCGCGCAACAGGCTTTAGCTGCGGAACAGGACCGTGCCGCCGCCCAAGCTCGGGAAGAGCAGGCGCGTGTGGCTGAGCAAGCGCGAGTTGCGGAACAAGCGCGTATTGCAGAGGAAACTCGTGTGGCTGAGCAGGCTCGCATTGCTGAGGAAACTCGCGTTGCAGAGCAGGCTCGAACTGCAGAGGCAGCTGCTGAAAGAGAAGGGCTGTAGAGGTAGCGCGAGAGGTATGGAAACCCTCTTCGTAGAAACCTCAATGCGGAAAGAGTGTATGGAGGTGCCAATCTGCGCCATGATGAGCCGCGAGTGGAGGTACATTTACCCCCACCACCACCTTTGGGTCGTGGGCAGGACATGGAGCCTGTACCGACCTATTGGGAGGCTATGAATCACGTTCGTCTCATGGGAACTGAGAAGTTTACAGGTAAGAGCGATCCTACTGCCACAGACAACTAGAGAAAGAAGTTGGAGAGGAATCTTGATGGAGCGAGGTGTCTGCTAGCATACCACAGAGACCTGGCCGTCCAGTACCTGAAGAACGAGGCGTTGGTATGGTGGGAAGGTCTTGTGGAGAAGGCTGAGGGACGGTATGAGCTCACCTGGGAAGATTTCAGGACAGAATTTTCCGGTAAGTACTTTCCACGCGAGGCGATGGAAAAGATGGTGAATGCATTCCAAGACTTGCGTCAAGAAAGCAAGACCGTACGTGAGTACGAGGAGGAGTTCAGTCGTTTGAGGAGATTTGCTGGTCAACACCCAGGAGAGCAAGAGTTGATCCGACTTTTCCTTAGGAGAATGAGGGTCGAACTCAAGAATCGCTTCTCCATAAGAAGGTATGACAGTATGATTGACCTCGTGAAAACGGCTGCAACTCAGGAGATTGGAATGGAGGAGGAGCAGAAGGTTGCACGGAATGCCCAAGCAAAAGCCGCTAAGGGGACGGAAACCCATAAGAAAACTTGGGGTAATTCGAACCCAAGGAATGGGCCATCGCATCCGTGTAACAGGTGTGGGAAGTACCACCACGGAGCGTGTCACGGAACAGCATGGTTCAGGTGCAACCAACCGGGCCATATGTCTCGGGAGTGTCCAGTGGCAGCGCTTGTGGAGTCGTGCTACCGCTGTGGACGGGTTGGGCACAATGTAGGGGACTGCATAATGCTAGTACCACACGGAGGAGGCAATCAGGAACAGCTACCGCCAGCACCAAAGAGGCACGCCCCTGGACCGCGTTTGCTCATGGCAGGAGACCACACTGGTGTTGGAACCGATCGCTGGTAAGTACATAGTTGTTATGGTTTAGAATTTTAAGTTCTGTGTGTTAGTTGTGTGTTTGTAGAGTAGAGCCTTAGAAGTAGAAACCCCGTAGGATCGGTCCTCGTTGGAGGCATAGCAGCTCACACTCTGTTCGACTCGGGAGCTACCCATAGCTTTGTTTGTCCGGAGATAGTGAGGGTTTGGACGTTCAAGGAAACCTGTGTTCCGAAGTCCAAGGGGATCCAGACGGCTGGAACTGAGCTGGTACAATCCACGGGAGTGCACATTAAAGTCCTCATAACGTTGGAAGGTGCGGATTGGCCTTGGAATCTCATAAAAATGAAGCTGAACCACTATGAGGTCATCTTGGGAATGGACTGGCTGACCCGATACCATGCGACTTTGGACTGTCATAAGGCAAGGGTCAAGATTCCCAAGGAGGATCGTTGGATAACGTTCCAAGGCGTTCAGTTGAAGACATGGGTCAGAATAATCTCGATGTTGCAAGCAGAAGAGCTTCTGGGGAAGGGGCATGAAGCATATCTGGCCATTTCGATGGTAGAAGAGGAAGTAGTGGCAAATCTTAGTGCGATTCTTGTAGCAACTGAATATGCGGACGTATTCGAGTCGTTGCAAGGACCGTCTCCCATGCGAAGTGATGCCTTTACGATTGAAGTTGAGCCCAGGACAGCGCCCGTATCAAAGGCTCCTTATCGTTTAGCACCTGCAAAAATGGCTGAGCTGAAGAAGCAGCTTCAGGACTTGTTGGATAAGGGGTTTATCCAGTCAAGTAGCTCGCCATGGGGAGCACCTGTGCTATTCGTGAAGAAAAAGGACGGTAGCTTCAGACTCTGTATTGATTATAGAGGTTTGAATAAGGTGACTATTAAGAACAAGTACCCTTTGCCGCGGATCGATGAGCTGTTGGACCAGCTGCAGGGAGCCTCTTGGTTCTCGAAGATCGATCCTACGTCGGGATATCACCAGATACCCATAGCAGAGGAGGATGTGAGGAAGACCGCATTTCGGACGCGTTATGGTCATTACGAGTTCGTGGTTATGCCATTTGGACTGACTAACGCGCCCGCTGCTTTATGAAGTTGATGAATGACGTTTTTCACGAACACTGGGATAAGTGCGTGATTGTCTTCATTGATGACATATTAGTCTACTCCAGGAGTAAAGAGGAGCATGACAGGCATCTGCGGATCGTTTTGGAGAAGTTGAGAGAGCAGCAGTTGTTTGCAAAGTTCAGCAAGTGCAGCTTCTGGCAGAGGAAGATCAGATTCCTAGGCCACGTAGAATCTGAAGCCGATGTAGCGGTGGATCCAGAAAAGATCACTTCTATTACCAACTGGTCTGCGCCGACAAGTGCTACTGAGGTCCGTAGTTTCTTGGGTTTGGCTGGGTACTACAGGAAGTATGTGAAAGGATTTGAAAGCATGGCCAAGCCATTGACAACCTTAATAGGCAAGGACGTCAAGTTCCAATGGACGGAAGCTTGTGCCAAGAGTTTTGCAGATCTGAAGGGATGTTTGACCGATACCCCCATTTTGGTATTACCAAGGACGTGTGTACCATACGTGGTGTATACAGACGCATCGGGGACTGGACTCGGTTGCGTGCTCATGCAAGAGGAGAAGGTGGTCGCATACGCCTAATGGCAGTTGCGCAAGCATGAGGTCAATTACCCCACTCACGATTTGGAGTTAACAGCAGTAGTATTTGCCTTTAAGATTTGGCGTTCATACTTGTACGGGGAGAAGGTGCAAGTGTTTACGGACCATAAAAGTCTTAAGTACATCTTTACCCAAGTGGACATGAATCTGAGACAGCGCAGGTGGGTAGAGTTGTTGGCAGACTATGATTTGGACATTATCTACCATCCCGGGAAAGCCAATCAACTGGCGAACGCCCTGAGTAGACGAAAAGCAGATGTATTAGTTGCTAAGGAAGCGGAGGAGCTAGTCTCGATGGTAGCCAGCCTGTGCCTGTGCGCCACTACCATCGGTGAGCCGGCCAACGGTTTGGAAGCCGTGGGTCAAGTGGACCTATTGGAACGGATCCGCGAGGCTTAGCAGGATGACCATGCACTCAGAAGGTTGATTGACCGCAAGGTGGATGGGTGCCGCGTTGCATTCAATGGAACTTACCTACTCTGTGATAGGGTTTGCATTCCGAGGGTGAAGGATCTGAAGGACGAGATCCTGTGCCAAGCTCACCAGTCACGGTTTGCTATCCATCCGGGAAGCACCAAGATGTACTGGGACTTGAAGAGATACTACCACTGTGACAGTATGAAGAAGGACGTCGCCATCTGGGTATCACAGTGTCAGACGTGTCAGCAAGTGAAGGCAGAACATCAGGTTCCAAACGGACTACTCCAGAACTTACCACTACCAGAATAGAAATGGGACATGGTAACTATGGATTTTGTCACCGGACTGCCGCATACTACTGGGTATAAGGATGCGATTTGGGTAATCGTGGACTGCCTTACCAAGTTTATGCACTTCTTAGCTATAAAAAGACGGACGGTGCTGATCGTTTAGCTCAGAAGTATCTGGATTCCATAGTGAGACTGCATGGAGTCCCAGTCAGTATAGTGTCATATCGTGATCCGAAGTTCACATCGATGTTCTGGCAGGCTTTTCAGAAAGCATTAGGAACTAAGGTTCATCTCAGTACTGCCTATCACCCCCAAACGGATGGACAGTCGGAAAGGACGATTCAGACCCTCGAGGACATGCTCCGGGCGTGTGTCATTGACTGGGCAAGAAAGTGGGGCAAGTACTTACCATTAGCTGAGTTTGCTTACAACAACAGTTATCACTCGAGTATCGGTATGTCTCCATATGAGGCTCTGTATGGTAGACCGTGTCGCACTCCCCTCTGCTGGACTGAAGTGGGTGAGCGACGTGACCTAGAGCCGGACATGGTTAAGGAGACGGTTACACAAGTGGAATTGCTTAAGGACAGACTTAAGGAAGCCCACGACCGTCAGAAGAGTTTTGCTGATAAGCGTAGGAAAGATTTAGAGTTTACAGTTGGAGATGAGGTCTACTTGAAAATGAGAACCTTCACCGGTGTGAAAGAGATTAGGAAGCTGAAAAAGCTTAAGCCAAGGTACGTCGGACCATATAGGGTCATTGAGAGTGGGCAATGTGGCTTATCAATTGGATTTGCCACAAGAGTTGTCTGACTTCCATAATGTGTTCCATGTATCTGTGTTGAGGAAGGTGGTTAGAGAGCCTGAGCTGATACTACCTAATCCGCCAGTGGATGTGAGTGGGAACCTCCGGGTGCGAAGCACACCTGTCTTGATAAAGGAATATCAGACAAGGGACGTTCAGGGGAAGGAAACCCGGATGGTCTTGGTGTGTTGGGAAAGAGATGGAATTAGTGAGGAGACCTGGGAAGAAGAAAATAACATGAGGAAATGGTTTCCTGAACTTTTTGAGGGTGCGAGGGGATAGCAGGTTGGTTGCAAGAATTCGAGGGCGAATTCCTCTAAAGAGGGGGAGAATTGTAACGCCCTGGATCTAGGCCTAACAGGAAAAGGAAAGGCCCATGTGTCAAAAGCCCAATAGGAAAGGGTATTAGGGTTTTCCCAGAGTCTTCCCTATATAAACAGAGCTAGAGAGTTATGATTTCCATTACAATTCTCAAAGCACTCAGAGATAGAACCTAAGAATCCTAACCGAGTAAGCTGCCGCCGCCGATCATCGTCGCCGCCGACCACCGCCGCCGAGGAGAGCCACCGTCGTTCCGCCGTTCCTAGCTGCCGTTTTCTTGAGTCCTTTGCTTTCCGTCGTTAGATCCCTTAAACCCTAGATCTTTTTTAACTTTCAATCGATTAGACAAAGGTGAGGATGTGTTCATGCCTTCCCTTCGATATCGTTAGCTAGCTTGTTTCTGTTAAATCTAGATCTCAAGTCCTCTAAAACCCTACAAGTTCCGCTATAGGTCGTAACTTGTAGATCTGTGTTGTTTGCTAGGTTGTTATTTACTATCAGAACCTAGATCTAGCTATGGATTAATACTGTTGATTATTGCTTGATGTTGAATATTGCTTGTGAGAATTGTGAATCTGCGTTGCATTTCATATAGTGTGTGAAACCACAAACTGCATTAGGACCCAGCAGTGAGAAGGCACTGCTAGCGTGATTGACGCCTGCGACAGAGGATGTGCCTGTCGTAGTGCCATGTGTTGCTCAGGTTGACGAACCAGTCGTGCAGCAACTTAGAAATCTTGCGGAGATGCGTCCCCTGGCAAGGGTGTAAGACATACGAAACTTGCGGAGGTTAATCCGTGGGTGCTGTAACGAGAGGCGTTCAGTATGCTTGCTTTGTTTATTGCATATTTGTTTGTTGATTGTTAGAGAAATCGTTAAACTGCGATTGTTCGTTTGGCTCTAGCTAACGACATGTTTGGGTAATGATATATGTGGTGGACCACATTTATGCATTCTCCTGGATAATCTAAATTACTCATCCCCTCATTTTCCCTTTTCCTCTTGCACAGGTGAGCAGGAGCAGCAAGAGTGATTGGCGTGTGATGATGGCGAGCTGGTTCTCTAGTTCGGTCCTTGGGGTCCTTAAGACATTTAGCTTTCTATTTCAAATGGTTTTCAGTTGGTTTTGAGACTTAGTTGTGGTGTATTTTAAGTTTAAGTTAGTTATTTGCAAGACTATTTGAATTTACATCTATGAAATGAATATTGATTTGGAGTTAATATTGTGGTAACTTGGTTGGAAAGTTGAGCGTTTAACACGCCATCTCATACCTCATATGAGGAGAGGCGGTGTTACAAAATCCATCAAGATATGCACAAGATCATAGCCGTCGAGTATGTCATGAGCTCGAAGGTTCTACATGCATGAAATAGTTTGTTGAGGTGCGTTTGGATACACTAGATGTGTTACTGTTAAAAAGAGTTTTGAGTGTTGGTCAAAATAACTTCATCGATAGTGGCTGAGGAGTGGGGAGTAATCTGATCATGTCTCCTTCTCGTAATACGTGTGGAATAATCTCCAAACAAGGGTCAAATCATTTTATGTACTTTTCAACTGAAATTACAAATGTTACATATTTCACTATTTTATATCATTTGTGATTTAGTATTTTTAGTAATGAATTAGATGTATAAAAAATATCTAGAATTGTTGTGGACCAGGGCTGCCAATTCAATGCACTAGCTAACCGACACTTACATTTCTATATATATATAAGCAGCCAAAGTTGTTATTTTCTGCTAGTTTAATTTTTTAAAAATTTTATAAACTAAACCATGAACCTAAAAATCTTTAACTTTATGTACTCTAATGGTGTATTTCAAGATTGTCTACTTTTTTACTTTGAAAAAAATTAACCTATTTTTCTCTAGTTATCCTATTGAAAAACCGGTTTGTTAACATAATCCAATGTAAACTCATAAACGTATGTATCTGAGTTGAAGACGATTGTAAAAAAAGGTTATCATCTTTACAACTTTCGTCATGTTGTAAACATTATTTTTCAATTTAGTTTATCTAATTTGATAGCCAATCAATAACTAGTATTTAGCTTAATGTGTTGGAAAACATTAAAAAATGTCTAGTGGTACATGTTTAATTATTTCATTCTGCGACAAAATTTACTATCTATACTATATATATATTTTTTAATTGGCACGTTTTTGAGAAGCAAGAATTGTTGTAAGACAGTTCAGTCCACATAAGTCCGCTGCCTCCACCAAAAAAAAAAAAAAAAATTGCTCTGGGAGTCTGGGACAGTGTTTATTTATAAGCATAAATTGAATGTCCCGTGACTAACCAGCATGGTATAGTGCCAATATATCTTTAATGAATTGTCTATTCGGCAATAGTATTTCCTCAATACCCCAAAGGCCAATTGATATAAAATTATAAATACGCAGAGAGCCTTGCCACCGAAACAATAATCACAGCCTCACACACAAAAACAAAAATAATCGTAGACAAGAGAGAAGATAAACATGTCGAATACATTCACGATGATCGGCGGTGAAGGCCCTAACAGTTACCAACAACATTCGAAATACCAGGTTTAGTATTTGATTTCGTATATTACTATATTAAAACCATCTCTCTGGAGGTTTAGATTTTCATTACCAAACATTTTATGGTTAACTAGGGAGCATTGCTTGAAGCTGCAAAGGAGAAGATCAATGAAGCCATCTCCACAAAACTCGATATCCATCTCACTTCAAATCTCGTTAACATAGCAGATTTCGGTTGTTCCACAGGACCTAACACTTTCGCCGCCGTACAAACCATAGTAGATGCCGTGGAACACAAGTATCAAAAAGACATTGAGTTCCAAGTTTTCTTCAATGATTCTTCATCTAACGATTTCAACACTCTCTTCAAGATACTTCCTCCGGCTAGAAAATATTACGCAACCGGTGTTCCGGGTTCTTTCTTTGGTCGTGTTCTTCCTAAGAACATTTTCCATGTGGGAGTTTCTTCTTACTCACTCCATTTCGTATCCAAGATTCCCAACGAAGTTAAAGATCGTGATTCTCCGGTGTGGAACATGGACATACATTGCACCGGATTCTCAAAAAAGGTAGCCAACTTGTATCTTGATCAATACAAGATCGATGTGGGGAGTTTCTTGAACGCGAGAGCTCAAGAAATCGTATCTGGTGGATTGCTATTGCTTCTTGGATCATGTCTACCAAATGGAGTTCAAATGTCCGACACCGTTATTGGAATGATGATAGATTTCATTGGATCTTCTCTTAATGAAATCGCTAAACAGGTAAAATCCAAACCACAAAAAATTCATTACCTCTTTCGATCATAGTATTAGTACTAATCAATACTAACATATTTGGTTTCATCTTCTAATCGAAAGGGTCTAACTGATCAAGAAAATCTCAAATTGCCTATATATCTTGCACATGCGGATGAGTTGAAGCGAATCATCGAGGAGAACAGATGTTTCACAACTGAAGTATTCGAAATAATTAGCCATGCCAAGGGAGAGTATCCGTTAGACCCAGAGTATTTGACGAAGACGTTTAAGGTCACAATTGGAGGATCTGTAGCTTCACCATTTGGGCAAGATGTGATGGAGAAAACATATGAGCTTGTGAAAAAGAAAACGCAAGAAATGCTTCCTCAAATAGCCAAAGCCGAACCCGGAATGCAATACCCCATTGTGTTTCGAAAAATTTGATTTCATGATCAGTGTAGATCTATGATGTACTTTGAAATAGATTTAAGGAAATTTAGTTAAATTGTCTCAAAAGCTACAGGAAAACAATACAATAAGTGAATTGAAAAATTATCGATTTCATTAGTAAATTCCCCTGTTAGAAAACTCGGCCTTCTTGGCCGATTGCACGGTGGTTAACCGGTTGACGGTCGAGCTTTATGGCAATTATGGTATAATCGGTCAGATAATCGTATTTGATCAAAAAAATTATGTTTTAAGTATTAAATAATAAGAAAAACACAAAAACTTAAAGAGCTAAGAAAACAAAATAAATATTTTAGGAAAATAAATACTTTTTGAGTTTTTATTAGTTAGTTAGGTATATAAATATTTTTATTAGAAATTTGAGCAGTGAGAAATGGAGAGAGAAAGATTGAACTATTTTTCCTTTTGTTCTTTCTTTTAGAAAGTGACAGAGAGAAAAAAAAAGTGTTTTACAGAGAGATTAATAGGTGCGCGTGTTATGTGTATGTGAAACGTCACGCGCGAATAAATATTAAGTCAAAGTGAGAGTATATTCTCTCCAAAAATTTAAGCGGTCCGGTATGGATAAAAGAACTCAATATCCGGTTAGAATTAAGTACCCTGAAACAGGTGACATTAACCAAATGTCATGGTCTCCAGATTGTTTGTATAGTTTTCGGTTAGACTTGATTTTCAAAACGATACTACAATGTGTGTATCGTAAAGTACCCAGAAATAATGGGTTTATTATTATATTTTTAAGAGTATATAAGCCTAAAATATCCAAAAAATAGCGGGAAACAATACATTTAGCACTATACACATTTACTTAGAAGAAAAAGGAAAATTATTAAAAACCGTTTGATTTCGAAAAAGAAACTCTTGTGGTCTTGAGCTCGTTTTCAGAGACATTAATCCCGACATGAAACCAAAAGAGAAGATGTTGGAGTTATAAAAAAGAGCTGAAGGTAAACATTTGTATAGAAGTTGTACACCTAAATTTAATACCATTATTGACTGATTAGCGATTCGTGTCAAGTGGATGGGAATTTGGTGGTTATGGGAATTCTATGTATATATGCAGAAAGGTGGATTATGTACTCTAATAGTGTATTTCAAGATTGACAAATCTGCATGGGTAGATCGTTCAATTCTCGTAATGTAGAAAGGATTCACCGATTGAGTGAAATAATATGTGCATAATATGGTTTAGATAAGCGCGTAGTGTCAGTTGAAATGTATTATTGGATTGAAGATACGCTTGCTGAGATCAATGAGAATGGCACAGCACCCGTGGAGATGGTTACCAACCATGACTTGCGTGTGTTTAAATTGTTGCATAAATGTGAGAAGACTGTTAACATCTCCGTCACATTCCGAAAGCATGTGGGAGATGATGGTCTGGTCATTTTGAAGGCTAAGGAAGGCGTGGCTGCTGAAATAAAAAAGGAAAGAAGTCATTATGGTCGCACAGAGGAAAATGGAAAACACAATCATAGTAGTGGGAGTGGATTGTTGGGTTTTAGAGATGAAAATGGAGATGAGAAAATACTAAAGTACATGTTGGTATAGAAAATGCTAAGGATAAATGTAAAGGTGGAGAAGAGATCAAAGATGGAGGTACAGTTGAATCACAATCACAAATTGTAGCAGAAGATATTGAGGAGGATGAAGAGGAGGAGGAGGATCATGAGGAAGCCGGAGGTGAGGATAATGATGAAGATGGAGATGAGTATCATGATTAAGACGGAGATGAGTATCATGATGAAGACAAATATGAGGATCATGAAGAAGATGAAGGTGAGAAGAATTACAAATAGGATTTCTGGCATGACCTTGTTTTAAATGATACGTTCTCACAGGTGGATGGAGAGGACAACGTAGATGATGGTCACTTCTAATTCCCAAAGAAACGTGAAAGAGCATTCCAATATTCCAGTTTTAGAGAGCAGATTCAACGATCATTGCAGAGATTTGGAGTTCCGTGACTGGCTCCGCGATGATAAATTTGTTGATGAGCCACTACAATTTTCGTCGAGGTATATAAATATAGTTTTTCTAGATGGCGATGAAGATGAATATTTTGCTGATACACCGCTTGAAAATTTGAAAAACACCGCGAAAAAGCTTTATATCATGGATGTGAGTGGTGATGATGATTTCCTGAATACACTGCCTACAAAATCCGAAAACACTTCCAAAAAACCTTATATCATGGATGTGAGAGGCGATGATGATTTTCTAGATACATCGCCTGCAAAATCGAAAAACACTGTCAAAAAGCCTTATATCATGGACTTGAGTGGTGATGATGATTTCGTGGATACACCTCCGAATAAATCAGAAAACAATGCCTCCACTACCACTAATGAGTTCTTCAATACACCTCCTATGTCATTGTTGCAAAGTCTCCTTTTCAGTAATAAAGATTTCGAGGATCCTTTGCCAAGCTCGAGAACAGATGTAAGTTTTCGTAGACAAAGATTTGGAATCGGTTAGATATTAGGTTGGTAGATATATATGGTTATGAAGATCCACCAGCTGTATTTAATGATATGGCTTGTGTTCCATTAAAATTGATTTGAGGTATGAAGATGGTGCCATTTACCTAGGGAGATTGTTCAAGAACAAAGAGCATTTCAAATTCATGTTGGCTATATGCTATAAAGGTGGTCTTTAAGTTCAGGTATCACTGTCATGCGAAGTTATATGTTGAAGCCAGATGTATTGACCCTAGGTGTGACTGGAAGGTTAAGGCTTATAAAGTTGAGGATTCTGATATTTACGAGATAAGAAAGGCGAAACTGGGTCATGTGTGAGATTCAGATAGTAGAGGGCAATTTTTGAAGCATGCAACATCAAAAGTTATTGCGGCTTTTTTGAGATCGAAGTATGATACAACATTAGTTTGACCTAGGGCGAAGGATTTACTGGCTGCATTACTTATTGAGCATAGGATTGCTGCAACATATTGGAAGTATTAGAAAACAAGAGAGTTGGCAATCTGTACAGCCCATAGAACATATGAGAATTTGTTCAAGTTGCTTCTCGTGTACTTTTTCGTACTCAAGTACTGAGGTAGATGAATTGGGACATACACGATTTAAGTTCTCATTTTGACGGCTGGAAACATTTGAGGAAGGTGGTGGTTGTGGATGGAACATACCTGTTTGGAAAGTACAAAGGTTGTCTCCTAACAGCAAGTGGATAGGATGTGAACTGACAAGTCTTGGAGTTGGTTTTTTGAGAAATTACAAGAGATCATTAGAGTCTGGAGATGATGCGGATGTAGATTCTCGGATAGATGCAGCTCAATCTATACAGCAAAGGAAACATGGTATCTACTTGCAAAACACGCTAGCTGTCTGTACACATACAACAAAACGTTCAAAACAAGTTTAAAAAACGGCAAAAGGAGATGGTTGGTTTGGCAGGAGATGCATTAAGACCATTGGAGTTTAAGAAGATTTATGCATCGCTTAAGCTAGTGGATATACATTGTTGGGATGTACATGGAGAAAATAAATAAAAAGCATTGGACAAAATGTTACTTCGAGGGGGAGAGATATAATTTGATGTCTAGTAACATTCCCGAATCCTTGAAACACACCCTACTTCCTGCCAGGGATAGTCCTATTGTTTTATTGTTAGAGCTTATTTGGCGGATGCTTAGCAGATGGCATGAGAGTAGACATAAGAAAATCAGAAAATGCATGGTAAAATTCCATTTGAAGTAGAGAAAAAGCTTTCTAACCACTTGAATTTGTCCCTAGGACTTCTTGTTGCAGAACTCGTAACGTGGGATTTAAAGTTACATCTGGGACAAGTGTAGCGCACCATGTTTCTCTAGATAAAAGAACTTGTACATGTCCTGAATTCAAAATGCTCCTAATTCCTTGCCAATACGCAATAGCAGCAATAACCATTAATAACCTCTCGTATAAGACTTAATAGGCGACATGCATTCAAAGTTCATGTGGGAAAAAACATTGTCGGGTAGTTCTACCGGTTCCAAACCCAGATGACATTGATGTTCCGACTGATGTGAGAGAGGGTGTCGTAGTTCTCCCTCCTAAGACTAAGCATCCTCTAGGGAGACCACCAACAAAAAAAAAATTTTCAATTAGTGAAATACCAGTAGTCCCATGAGCCTCTTTATTTTGGTTAATGACATTGAAGTTTAGATGAAAATTATATTGAAAATTTGAAAATTCTATAACTTAACTTGTCCTAGGTACTTACGAAGAAAGCCAGAATTAATAAATGTATGAGGTGTTTTATAGAAGGACATAATCGGGCTACTTTCACCGTTCCATTGAGATGATGACCATTGGTGTACGTTCTGAGTAACCATTTGATGTACGTTTTGGTTGATGGATTGTTCGTCTACGTTTTGACTGGTGTACGTTTTTGATTAGTGTATGTTTCATCAGTGTACGTTTTGTTGGTGTACGTTTCAGTTGGTGTATGGTTTGGGTTGTGTACATTTCGCTGGTGTACGTTTTCGTTGATGGAATGATCGTGTACGTTCTTATTGGAGTTCAATACCTTTTGGAGTATTTTTTTGCGAAGAGAAATGTTAATCTATGTTCTTGGGTACAAGAAATTGGTGTACGTCTCCAATTAGTTTTCGATTTTATTGTAATTATTTGCGATGTACATAAAACATCCATTTGCATTGTAGGATTTCATTACCAATCAAGTATATACGATAAATGACATACCAATAAAATTAAATTTAAAGTATCTAATAGAAGAGTTTATGATACAAAAAGGTAGTATATTACAATATTAAAAATATTAGAAGCATGGTACATATCCATTAGAGAAAGTCAATATATGTAGAAGTCGTTGCAAAATGGGTTAAAATTTAGATCGTGTTCAAAGGCACATTCTGGCATCTTAACAAGTGCATTGTCTGGGTAAGAGAAAGTTATTATGTGGGTATTGTTGCAACGGGCGCTATGACAAGATACGTAATAAATTAACTCCTCTCCCATATGTCTCACTGTGCCTGGTCGTAGAGGTGAGTGGTGTAGTTCAAACTGGTGAAAGTGTTTGGTGGCTCTGTTTGCATCGCCATGACAAAAGTTGAAAATTGATGCTGCCAGGGTGGCATCCGCGTGATCTGGAACGTTTAGCTCCATGAGATATGCTCCACCATTTATGTCTGCACCGTTGCATACTAGTCTTGGAGATTTGCAGTAAATTGCATAAGTGTTACCTTGTTCCAGACACTTTTCAAAGAATGGGAGCCCTCTTCCTCTAGGTCGGATGCCTAGGAGATCTCGGCAAAGTTACCACAGGTTACAGGTCTATACAACTTCGTTGCTATAGCTGAGGTGATAGGTCTGTTTCCCGGCTCTATTAAACGGTCCGAGATGTGATGTAGGAGTTTACTCTACTTCAAATCCTACATATACTCATATCATTGTAGTATGTAGGTATCAATCCATAATGGGAAGGTAAGACACTAGAAATGCAATAGATTATCTAATTCAAGCAAGCATAAATGGGTGATTGAAACTATGAAACTAATGACTAAAAGAGACTTCAAATAAGCAAGAACAAGTGAAATAAACAGAGAAACTAAGACAGGTTCGAAATTCAAACAATCAAGAACTAGTGGGCTTGAGAAAGGGCAATTGATCTAGGGAGAGTCTTGGCTTAACTAGTGATGCTTCAAAACATTCAAAACAATGCTATTCCTAGGCATAGAATTAACAGCTATATCTAGCTGAATTCATTGATACTAACCAATTTGCTAAACACATATTTAAGACAAATTCCTTTACTCAAACACATGATCTGCAAGCATTACAAGCAACTAATCCAATTCTATATTGCCAATCTACTCCTTAGGCAGCTAATTCCTTAGGTTAAGATAAGCAAATCTCTTACTTGACTCATTAAGGCAATTCATCAAACACTTACCAGGCATAAGAGAACCCTAGAATCTAGATCAACTTAGCAAGGGCTAATCTAGCATTAGACTCAATAAATAAGATGGAACAATCACATTAAGCACTAAGCAATCACTAATTTAACCTTAAATCTCCCTATCTCTATCCCATCTCAAACCCTAAGCAAACTACTCACTAATCATGATCCTAATCACAGCCCAAAGCAAGGAGAGATAGTAAATCATGGTGAGAAAGAAGATAAACACCAGCTTTTGATTGAAAGAGTAAGATTCAACAAGAGATTACAAGAAAACCTAAGGGAAATGCAAAAGAGAAAGCTATTATTCAGAGAGTAAAGATGATAAGATAGAGAGATTATGTTTTTAAGTTGCAGCCTATATATGATTTTCAGGAAAAACCCTTTGTAAACCAGAAATAAACCGAAAAGCAGCTGGTTCGGGCGCCTGATATCGACTTGTCACGTCGATACTCTGGTCGATATCGGTTAGCAGAAGAGTGTATCGGCCAGGTCTAGCCGATACTCACATCGATACAAATTCCCCTTGGTAGAGTGTCTTGGGTGATCTCCTCGATACGCTGTTCGATACAATCACCCTTTAGTTAAGGCACATCATGCTCCAATGTCGATACAGTGGTCGATACACTTCTTTGGCCTGCGTACCGAGATGATGCTATGTCGATATGTTGGCCGGTACAAGGGCTTCAGAGGAAGTGCATCGATCAGTTGTAGCTCGATATTCTTATGGTGTCATTTCTCTTTGTATCGACTCTGGGACTTCGATGTGTTGATCGGTATAGCACCCCAGTATGTATAGATGCGCGAAGCCGATATGCTGCTCTATATATTGTGTATCGACCTGCTATGTCGATATCCTACTCGATACGAAGCCTTCTCGCCTTGGCTCCTTCATTTTTTGATTCCCAGCTCTCCCTCTAGTCCTCAAACTCCCGAAATGCACCTGGTAAGTGGTAGGAATGCACCTAATATGCAATGCAACTCTTATATATACTCTATATGCAAAGTGGACACAATAGGGACAAGAACATGCAGAAATGCATTCTTGAAAACTACCAAACAATGCGAAAATACAAGCTAATATGGTGTAAATAATGAGTGTATCAATACTCCCACACTTGCCTTTTGCTTGTCCTCAAGCAAACAAGAACAAATGAGGGAATGAGGTTTAAAAGTGGGAGCTCAAAACTAAAGATACCAATGGAAAAACTGATTCAATGCCCAAGTTATATGTTCTAAGATGTATATAGATTGTTCTGCTTCAAAAGCTTTAGCCATACACTTCCTAACAAACAAAGAACTGATGCTTAGCCTACACAAGCATTCAAATCAACCAACTCTTTAACATTCATTCAATGTAACCAATGGATCAAGTTTGTGCAAATAATGAGAAAACATTTTGTTTAAGGGTTAAGCTTATGAGATGAAAATGATCTCATTCAAATAAGGGTTCAAAGATTCAGGAGATCACTCAATGAAATGATTCTATCTTAGGCAAAATGCTAAAGGTAAAAGCATACTTATGCATGCAAGTTAAAGCTCTCTTCTACCCTTTTTGCCCAAAGATGAACCTAAGAACTTCTAAAACCCAAGTGAAACCCCTAGATCTACCCTTTCCCAATGCACTTTCCATCTTCTTCTTCTTGATGTGTCGAGAAACTTCCTCTTTGCTTGTGTGGTTGACTTCTTTTTGGGACTTGCTCTTCTTTGTTGTTTTTGGTGCCATTTTCATCACCTTTGGTGGATTGCTTGGTCTTAATTCTCCTTTTGGATGACCTTGTAAGCTTTGTTGTTGGCATCTTCTTTTTCTTTAACACTTAGAGCTTTTCTTCCTTATACTTAACAACAAACTTAACTTGTTTCCCCATACTCCCATCCCCATACTTCTTCTTCTTCATTTAAAGGATATAAACAATAAAACTCAAACCACTTATACTACCCCTTTTCCAATCTCCTAACCTAGTACCAAGCTTAAAATGCAAGCTGGTGTCTACAAGAGAGCTTCTCCTCGCCAGCCTTATTCCTAACAATTTTTGCCAAGATAAAATCAAAAATGATGCAATACAAGACCTCACAACTCTGACAATAGTGTTTAAGTTTAGAAGGAAGGATTGGTTTAAGGTGTGGATAACTGTCCCATAATGATAAGGATCAGCTACTTGGATCAACAAGAGTGGTAAGAAGGGAACACGATAATCCAAGTATGTATATGGGTAGCCATGTAATCACTCTCAAGGCACAAACAAGATAATCCAAGTATGTATATGGGTAGCCATGTTATCACTCTCAATGCACAAACAAGATAATTCAAATTCAGGATTATGGTTCTAATAAGATAGAGTTGGAATCAAATGAAAGCAAGCTTTAGCATAAGTCATGAGTGTCAATGCAAGAATTCTAAGCATGGTGGAACCTTAACTTCAAAACTCACTACTATGCATTTAAACAACAAGTAACCAAGGCATTGAAAGCAATTAAAAAATGGGCATCTTAACAAGTGTTTATCATCTACTCCCTATGCAAATGTGTGAAAAGCTGCATGAAATGCATCTACACTCAATCTTAGTCATTCAAATGCACCTAAATGATTCTTTTTGGTTTCTAAAAATTTGAAAATTTTCTGATTTTCTCAATGAAATGCATGAATGTATGCATGAGACTCAAGTATGCAAAGGGGAAAATAAGAAAACAAAACACAATGTTAAATGCAACCCTCCCCCACACTTAAATTACACAGTCCACTGTGTAATAGAAGTCTTAGAGGAGGTGTAAACAACGGAAAATGATGAGACAAAAGGCAGGGTACAAGAAGTGAAGGAGAAAAGGTTAGATGAGACTTACTGCTGTTTGCATGGCCGATATCGGGGTCAGAGGTCGATATGCCCGTCGATATACCTTTGAAGGGGCGGGTATCCGGGAGGGACATCGATACACATGGTCGATATTGGTCTAGCTGGTCCGTATCGATCTGCGCATCAGTATAGATGTCGATACGCCTTGATGCGGAACTCGGGGATCGCTGTCACCCTTTAGTTAAGGCACATCGACGCTGTTTCCTTTGATATCCTCATCGGTATACTCGTGCTCCCTGTGTTGCCTTGATCGGTACATGGGTCGATATGCATGATGTCGGGTGTATCAGGGCTAGTATATTGGCATTCAGGTCGATACAGGATCCTCTCTTATGTATCGGCCTTCAACCTGAT